TGCTGAGTTTACACACCTATAATATTCAATAACGGAACTTAGAAAAAATGGGGTATACAGATGAATGTCCATTTTGTATCTGTGTATTCAAAGTGGTTAAGATAGATATATAGTTGCATTCTCTTAATGAATAGAATGATTTGTTCTAATGGGATTTGTAAAGAGGGTCTCAAGTCCGCATCTTGTACAGCAATTAACCACTAATAAGAATATATGTAGTGTGTTATTTGTTGAAACTATACTTCCAATTTGATTTGAAACTGTCTTATTGCTATCTGTTTATCAATAAAATTTTCAAATATAAAAAATAAATAAATAAAATTTTAGAAATCTGAACAAGCACACGAATATTATGCTACACTAATTATAAAACATAAGTGGATAAAGAGCTCAACTGAGAAAGGATGTCTATAGATGCACAAGAAATATCTTGAGTTTTTACAAGGATTCCATGGGATCCAAGGTTGAATGCATTTTCTTGGCTTGAGCATGATGTTATCTAACAGAATGCTATGACATCAAATGCAGAGCCCAAATTGGAGGACACTTACATTTTTTATTTTTGAATTTTATTTATTTCTATAAACATATGTTACTGCTCTCTATATGTGATATATAAAATTAAAATCATCTTAGTGGATTATGTATATACGCATTTCACATTAATAATTTTTACTTCCCAGCAGCGCATCTGGAGGTCCTGCGGATCTGTTTTTGCTTCAACAGTGTTTGAACGGAACAGACCCGGAGACTCCTCTTTCATCTTCCCATCCACCTTCCAGGTACAAGTTTCAGGACCATCTTCTTGCCTATCGCCTCCTTCCAGGACCGGACAACACCATTCTTTTGTGGGTAGCTCCTTATTGCTGATCAGCCATGACCTCTCAGATTCGTCAGAATTATTCCACTGAGGTGGAGGCTGCTGTCAACCGCTTGGTGGACCTGCACGTGCAGGCCTCCTACACCTGCCTCTCTCTGGGCTACTACTTTGACCGAAATGATGTGGCTCTGGAGGGAGTGGGCCACTTCTTCCGTGAGCTGACCAAGGAGAAAGGCGAGGGAGCCGAGCATCTCCTGAAGATGCAAAACCGGCGCGGCAGCCGTGTACTCTTTCAAGACGTGCAGAAACCATCTGAAGATGAGTGGGGCAAAACCTTGGATGCCATAGAAGCTGCCCTGGCCCTGAAGAAGAACCTGAACCAAGCTCTTCTGGACCTTCATGCCTTGGGCGCTGCCAAGACCAACCCCCATATCTGTGATTTCCTG